CTACTCCCCACGCTCCCTGTTAAAACTCTAGGATATTTCTTCCAATTGCCTATAAATAAACATTCTTTATCACCATTATTTACATTGCTAATATTTGATAACTGAGTTCTGCCTGCATCTTTACTTCCCAATGTATACGGTAACTATGCTGACTCGAAAGTATTTTATTCCATGCTACTTCTGTATTCATTCCAGATTCTTTGTAGTCGCGTAGCAAATAAAAACTCACTCTATTCAGCAAATATTGTTCTTCTTGAATTGACAATAAAACAAATTTGTTTTAAATTCATTACGAAATACAAATACCAAAATAATGAATATCATAGAATTTTTATTACGTGCATACAACCTGAATAATAATAAAATAATCACCGTAAAATGGTTTACCATCTTTTGAAAGAAAAAGCTTAAAATTTCATTTGTTCCTTTGGCGATCCGAAAAAGGCATTAAAATTTATTCAGTTAATTTAGTCAAAAAATAGTTTTTCAGGACAGCGAAAAATATTCCCAAGTGAGGATACCTGAACTACACATAAATAAATGCAGTTGTGTAAGCACCTTGTGAAGGTCATATATACAAATGAATAAGTAGGGTAGATAAGCGGTTGTAATAATGACAAACACAAACAATACAACACAATAATTATAAAGATGGGAGAGAATGAGCATGAAATAAAAGTGTTAAACTTTCTGGAAGAATGGAGCAAAGGGTTTTAGGTGAAAAGGTGATGCATCGTTAGGGTAGCGATAAGTTGATAGCTCTATTCTCGTAAAACAGCTTCGGGAATGTGAATTAGGCACAAAGTCTTTTCTCCCTTAAAGGCTGTGACGGACTTAGCTGTGTCAACTGGATTCACAGCAGCCTACGTGTGATGGGTCATTGCAATACTGAGTGAAAACTAACCCAGAAATCTCTTCCTCTCTCTCCTTATATATATATATATATATATATATATATATATATATATATATATATATATATATATATATATATATATATATATATATCCTACGTCCTGTGGTCTTCCCATGACTATGAATATCGTTATATTTCAAGCTTGATTGACATCATAGTGATCATTGTTCCATAACTATGATTTGCGTTCAACCAATTTGATTGCTTTAATATTTCTCTGCATATTCTCTATAGACAGCAATCATCAATTTCTAACGATGGAGGATGGAAGCAGTTGTTCGCTCAATTGTCTCTTCTTTTGAGCATTGAATGCAGGCATTTCAACTGATTAACTTAAATCTAGTAATGTCTGTTTCCTATAACATATGATGTAATTCATCATATGACGGTTTTATGCACTCATTTGCGGCTCATTCAAAACATAGGTTATTAAGAGCGTATAACAATGGACTGTGAGTCAGACACATCTCTAAACAAAACGCACACTTTGATGTATTGCGTAAGCCAATTTTCATGTTTATTTATTGATATAGAAAAAGAAACAAATTACGAAATGAGGTCATAAAAAATTATTACAATGATTTGTTCTTTCGATGCATGACCATCAGAGAATGAATTTCCGCTTCGACTTCAAAAAATCAATAAAAACAACATTATTTAGCTGTTTATTACCGTCAGAATGATGAATAAAAAATTAAGCTCTAGCAGTAATCACAGTTCGATACTTTAGGAGCATACACCGGTAGGGCCCTATAAATAAAGCACAACATTAGTCTATTAGTTAGTTTAAAGACATTTTAAAAAAGTATATTGCACTTAGTTCCATATTAGAAGTTTGTTTGATTTATTACACACAGTAATACAGTATTATTTACTTGATGACGTTTCGAGCAATAATTATTGCTCATAATCATATCATATCATCAAGTAAATAATACTATATCACTGTGTGTTATATGTCATATAAGCAAATCTAATATGGAATTAAATTCAACCAGTGACCAAGTTTTACACTTACATATTGCACTTAGTAGAAGAGACTGTCAAAACTTAGTATCAAAATTAAAAGGCTTAATAAATATTTGTATAAACTTGTTGTTCATCTGCCACTGTACACTGGCTATCATCAAACGTCGTTAGGTGACAACACGTTATTCTACGCTTTAAACGATATGTCACAATCTCCTGTTTATACATCCACCACACAACAATAAGCAGTTTACATCCATCGAATTGACGAACTGTGAATTGATCATTGATAATATAGGTCGAAGAGGTGTGTCTAGCTTGTACATTTTGACTCGGTCATATAACTTGAAATATGTGACTCAGTTGGTTTTATGCTTTTAAAAGTATTCTTGTCAATATGCTTTAACTTTACAAGTTGTTTCAGAAGTTGCACCATTTATGTCTCGAAAGAAGTTTGATTTTTGAAACTTTTATCAACTTCGAATTTTGACTTGTCAGAGAGTACAGAGAACATTTTATTAACGTAATCTTATTTATTCATAGGTGTTACACATTTCATCTTAGTCGGTACTTGGGATAACAATATACTTGTCCTGACGTAGTTCATTTAATGACTCCCAGTGCGCTTTAGAGATGGGTTGCTGTTGATTTGAAGATGTAGTTCGGAACCGGTGGGCGATATCAACTATCTTCAAATTAAACCAACTGCCACTATCATTCGAGGTAGCATTAAGAGTAGTGAATTGGTCATATAGATTTCCAAACTGTGATTCAATTTCAATTTGTTCTATTTTCGTTGGAGGAAAACAGAGTTCGAATCCCATTGACAACATTTCACACTGAATTTTTGACAAAGAAACGTCAGAAAATTCATGCACATATTCAGAAAGGTTACATGGGAATATGTCATCTGGACTATCAGGAAGAAGAGATTTAATCAATTTCTTCTTTTCGATTTCTCTAACATTCTTCAAAGTTATATGTAGGTTTTTTGAAATTTGATAGAATATAACAATGGGAGATCATTTTGAACATTTAACAGCTTGCTGGGCACAACATACAGATTATTAATTTCATCTGACGCAGAACGTATATGGGATTGAGCTAAGGAGTGAAAATTTGTACTTGTTGGCCTCAAGTTGTCTTTTCTGAAAGATTTGAAGAGCATTCGTGGGAAGGTATTCAGTTGCAGACATTCTAACAAAAACTTCTTACGTGTATGGTAAGTGGGAATCCTACACTTCAACTTCACTGGATCATCCAGTACTACATAGTTGACTATTAATTGTTCTATTTGAAATGATGTTATCCATCCCTAGTCCCTTTATTTTTCATTATCAACTCGTTACACCCTCCCAACCAAATCTTCGCTCTATTTGACATAAGTGAATGATTCACTCCACGTTGCCATGCCTCATTCAATGTCCTTGTCTGTATTGTGTGTATGTATTCCTTTGTGGCACAACAGTATGCAAAATCATATATGTAGAGTAAAAAGCAAACGAGTCTTGAAGAGTTTTATGAATTATATAAATTTCGCTTTAATTACACTTATTATTTGTTTTAAATTTGCATCGGGAAACAAATTTTCTCAATTCATAGGATTGCAACGAATAAACAAATAAATGAATAAACTGTCTTAGGAAGATTAAGACAAAGGCAAAATCAGAGATTGAATATATCTCTTTTGAACGCAAAGATCAAGCATTTAACGCTGGACCACCAAAGCCTCTGACGTGCTAAGGTGGAGAATACACACTCTCTTCCAAATGTTTAACTTCCCTTTATAAATGAAAGTGAAAGAAGTCTCTCGTGCAGCAAAGTGACCAGACTTAACCAAATGCTCAAGAATCTAGCTGTTGATGGCTTTGCACCCTCCTTTAGCCAGCAACGTATAACAGTGTTCAGAGGTGCCTTTGGATAGAAAACACTTTGTGTGGTCTATGTAACCAGCTCCACAAGACCACTTGAATTAATAAACACACATGGAGGTGACCCAAAGCGATAGTTTATTCTTTACACACATTCGAATCAGTTGCTGACTTGAGGAAACAGTTCAAAGCTGAGCGAGAAAGGTCTTCTCCAGGGTTTTCACGGTCAATTCTTCAGTTCCTTTCCCAATGTATCCCCTCGAATCCAATATTTATTAAACGGTGTCCTTTTTGGAAGCGTAGGGTCTTCTTCTTTGAAATTCTTAGGCCTCATGCTCCTCTCAATGAATTTTGAAGGATAACCGTTGTCGATTAACACTCTTCGAAGTATTTGCAGATTCTCATTTACTGCATCATCCGTACAAATTCTACGACTTAGAGTGCATAGTGAGTAAATTAGGTTTCCTTTCCTGACTGGTGGAACCCAGCTTTTAAAATGAATATATTGCACATTCTACGTTTTTTTTCTGAAAGTCGATCTCCTTAGCGAACCTTCACGTTTTTGTGAGTCAATAAAGACCACCTTAACTTCAACAACTTTTTTTCTTTACTTACCTTCGTGTTAATATAGCCTTAACACACATAATAAAACTGCATAACGAACAGCTACTCATGTGTAACAAATAAGTACGTCTAGAAGACAGCTCAGGTAACTGTCTTGTTTAAAATTAATTACGACGTATTATGACCAGGTTACAAAAAATTTCAGTACAACGAATAGACGTAACAGTTTACTGTCACTTATAATAATTTATACTTAGATAAAAATCTGGAAAATAGCAGAAAAATCATTATGAGAAGCACTCAGATAGAACACTTACAACACTATTAGTGCTTCTAAAATGGTCATAGAAGCACATACCATAAATACAGATCCCTTGAACGAGCCTATCGTTGCACTATATATAGCAGGCAAAGCCGTGGCACTAATCATAATTCCAAGGCGTTCCACAACAGCAATTACAGACATAATTATACCTGGAAACAAAATTATAATGAATGGATTCTAATGATAAGAAATCTTTGTACAAAAAAAGCGAGACACCAACTGCATATAACCAAACTAATCGACAAAATACTTCATAAACAAAGGTCGCTCGGAAATCAGACTATCAATTCAGCCTAAAAGAGTGAACAACCATCGAACTATTATACACAAATACATATTTCAACTGGTACTGGAAAAAAAATCCGGTTCCGGAAAATATCCATGAAACCGTATTTTGTTCAACAGAAAAACTTTGGACGTACAAAGTTAACCTAGGTTTCAAAACTACAAGCGGAAATACGAAGTGTAAAAAGGAAACAAAAAGAAAGGTAAAATGTTTGTGGATAAACACAAATAAGACACTCAAAATCTATTTCGCTAGGTGTTATGTATAATTACCTATTGCAAAGTGATCCCCAGATACTTCTGCCCTCAAGAGTTATAAACACACTTACCAACATAAAAATAACTCCAGCAAGTACATGTCCTCCATAACTGATTCCTTTCGTCCCGAATACCCTAACCAAGCAGTCAACATCTCCCTACACGGCTCAAACCAACAATCAGACAATTGATCGATTGGTGCCAAGTCTTGGTCTAGCCACCCTGAACATTTTTTCATCCCAATCCAACTTCCCTCTAGCATGGCACGTCGAGGTAAGCGGTAGCTCAGCATGCGTAGTACATTTCCAAGCCACCTCAGTTGACTAAGGTTCACAACCTCGACAACCAACTTACCTGTCTTGCCTAGTACCTTTCGCCTTACCTCAACATTGTTCTCACGGTGATTCCACAACCAACAAGAAATGCTACGAGAAAATCTGCGATCAAAAACCTGCAAGCGCTTCATGCCTACTTTGAACTGCCGTGTCTCAGCCATACAACAGGACAAAACAGACTGCAGCTTAGTACACTCGTCTTTTGATAGATAGTCGTACATCTTGCCACAGGTGACGCAAGCTGGCAAATGCCAAATGGGTCCTTCTCTATCTGAGCTGAGATTTCGTCAGCAACCACCCGTTCGGGTTGATTCAACTCCCCAAGTAAGTGAAGTGCTTGACACATTCCACCACTCCACATCTTATCATTAGGCTAGAAGTGGTTTCATACCAGTCGTGGAGCATCATCTTACATTTGACAGATGTCAGTGAAACGCATGCTAAACATACATAGATTTCTTCTCAAGGCGTTCAGAAGACCCTTCATTTTGTCCACGTCTTCATCTAGCAGGACAATATCATTTGCACATTCCATGTCAACTAGATGATCTTCAGGGAGTGGGAGTTTTCTGTACCAAAGTTGACAGCTTCTCCTAGAATTCATCCTTCACATCATCCGAACTGCAGTTGGTTGATGCGGAGATCACGAATAGGTATCGGTTGTCTCATGATCCTTCATAGTCCTTAGAGATCCATTCAGTCGAACAGCACATACACGGCTGTTTACTGGTATCCAGTCAAGAAGCTCACTTTCTGCCGAACAGCCCAATGCTATTTCTACACGAGCGAGTCCACTAGAGCTAACCACTGAGACTCTGGATACTATAGGGTGAGTTTTGAGGAGATTCATAACTATGGCCAGGTAAACTGAATTTAATAACCACACTTGGTTCCTGTATAAGTATTTCAGACACAGCATACATCCATGGCTAGAGATTCCAGAGTTTTGTCAAGCGATGCTTGGTGTCCGATTTGACATACATTTCACACGTTGAAATCTCTCACACGAAATTGATGGCATAAATGGTTCACAGTGTTTATCGAGTGAGACCTTGGGTAAGGTGTAAGAGGCCTAAAATTGGTAGCAGGAGGTGAGGACAAAGGAGGGACACTGTTGAAGAGGATACGCTATGTTTGATCAGGTCTTGTGTTCTACTGGAGGGGTACGGGTGGTTGACATTTCTCGGTTCTCCAAACCTTGTAGGGATGTTTTTTTCTCAAGGTAGGTAAAAAACGAGCCCAGGGAAGATCTACTTCAGGCCGGTCGCATAAGGCCTTTTCATGCCGCGACAAATGGCCTGCAGTACGAGACACGTAGTTGGACATACGTCCGGTGGTTTGCAATTACCATTACCATAAAACATAAAGCATCATCTCGTTGCTTCAGAATATGTTAGAGGTGACTGCTTTATGTCTAACCACTATCTGACAGATTTTTCTGGTAGGGTGAGTCATTTGAAACGGTTTGTGAACCTTCATCGACTGAGATGGCTGGAACATGTGTTACATATGCCTCATCACACAAGGAGGTTCTAGCTGGAAAAAGGCCAGAGGCGGCCAGACTTTAACATTATATCAACGTATGAACCCTTTGACTGTTGGTTTGAGTCATGTGGGGTGAGACAGATTGACCGGTTGAGGTCCACGGGACAAGAGGAACCAGTGGTTGGAGACCCTAGGTGATATGGCTGAGAACCGATGTCAGTGGTGAGCAGATGTATACGCACATTATCCTCATCTTAACGACGCTATACCAAATCTCACCTTCTTCTCATTCTTTCTTTCTCTCTTTTCGGACTTTATATTTCTTTTGACTGAATTTTCTTCTACTTCACTGCCTTTTCACTTGATGTACTGACATGAGCTGTGGAAACTCGGACTGTTACGCAGTAATGCCTAGTCCTATATTGATTTGGATGGATGGCTAGGACTTCTAGGTAATAAGCGTTCCACCAGCATAGTTCTCCACGTCATCGTGATATACTACGCCGAACACTACGTCAATGTAGAAGCTATCGGTCGAGACACAAATACATAGGTTCAACTCAACAGATGTTACAGCAGTATATAAAGAACAAGTGGAAAGAAGAAGACTAATACCAATATAGACAGGCGAATGAATGGGAGGTGAAAGAATTCAGATATGAAGGTTAGTCAAAACACTCAAGCTTCGGAAGGCGTCAAAGAGTGAGTACATCTGCTCCAATGTGACCGATTTTCAGCCACATCACCAAGGTTCCTCAACCATTGTTTCCTATCATCTCGGCGGCCCCAACCAGGTAGCCTCAGACGTCTCGGACTAACAGTCAGACCTCATGCACTGGTGCCACGACTTGATCAGGCCTCACTGAACCTCCATCCAACCTAATCCAACTCCTCGTAGCATTGCACTTGAAAGTAGACGGTGCTTCAGCATGCCCAACACATGTCAAAGGTTAACCAGTTCATCGACTGACCTGCCTGGGACTCAACCTATCCTCGATATTGCTCTCACGATGATTCCACCATACGCAAGTAATGGTACCCAGATAGCTATGGTAAAAACACCTTCAACCGCTCCATATATTCTGCGTTTAAGGGCCATATCTCACAGCCGTATAACAGAAGGGAACGCACTGCAACACAATATACTCATCCCTTAACACATAATTTGATATCTTCAACACAGTTGGTCCCAGTAGGCAAAATCCCAAACGGGCATCCTACATGAAAGGCGAGGTTTTGTCACAAACCGGCCCTCATCCTATTGTGAACACTCTAATTAAGTGAAGCGATCAGTGCATTCCACCATTTCACTCCTTATCCTTAAACTGCGAGCTATCGCACACCAGTCCTGAAGCGTCATCATCATACATTTGACAAATGCGAAACGCATGCCAATCATACTCAGATTTCTGCTTAACGTGTTTACAACACTCCAATTTGTCACCCTCCTCATCTAACAAAACAATATCGTCTGTCTACATCAAGTTAACGACATAACCACTCCCAGCGTGTACATCATTTCCAGAGAAGTCAGAATTACTCAAGGGTACCTCCATTAATACATCTGAAAAGAAGTTTGTCAAGAACGGCAACAACAGTCATCCCTGGCCAACACCGATAGTTGTTTTCAATTCACATGACGACTCCTCACAAGCCTTCACATGGTTGTGTGAATTAGAGTAAACAGCTTCCTTTGAATAGCACAAATATACTTGTTCGGTGCTTTCTTCACAGTCACATTGTCAGGATGCCTCACGATCGACATAGTCGAATGCTGCCATCACATCAAGAAATATGGAAAGTGTTGATAGCCACTAAGTATACCTGTGTTCGATAACATGAGGAAGGATGGAAAACTGACCGACGCAATTGTTCCCAGGCGTGAAACCCGTCTACATTTCTTGAGTTTGCTGTTTTCGAGATCCAGTAAGATATCGGATTACTATGTACATCAGGATGTTGAACACGATGTTAGCCAAACTGATTCCCCTATATCTGTCACAAGAAGACTAATTTCCTTTATCATACACTAGAGTGATCTTTGAAGTGGTCCAGTTTGATGGGACTACCATTCATTCCTATACACGACTTAGTACCTCCGTTACCTTAAAGACTGATTCTCTACCTTCATCCTTCACAATTTTTTGGAGCAACCGTCAGGTCTTCATGTGAGCATCCTTCAGGTTTCAGTCAACATTCTTAACAACGACGAGAGCAGTAGGACGGACATCTGCATCCCATTCAGGTTCCAGAGGGATTTTGGCTAAATGACGCATTTCTGTGGGACTTTTCAAAAGGACTTCAAATTATTCCACCCAGCAATGTAGCAATCTGTTTTCGCAAGTGGTTCCAGTGACAACAACTTCCTTTCAAGTTACGGAGTAAAATATGACGTATGTAATAACGATACTGAACGCACAGGTAAACTACAACTGAATGCCTATGTATGACTATTCCCCCTCAGCACCTTATTCTTAACTGAGTCATGCAAATATCAAAAGACAAAGGCTGACCTGTGACTGCAAGGATGACGACGACTTTATGTAATTACAACATATACAATCCTTACACATAAAAAGTGCCCTATGTCAAAGATAGAATAATACAACATTATTGGCTAACGAATCGTCGACTAGTTATTTTGTCCACATATTGATATAAACCGAAATCTGAAACGAAAATACTTCCACCCTAACAGCTGATGATATTGATAACTACGTTTGGCAACTTCCTATTGCCTCCTCACGTAAAGAGTGTATAGCTTTCTTTTGAGGTCCACTTGGAAGGGCTATTGTCTTCTGTAGGCGATAACTGACTTGGGGTTGCAGGATCTGCTTGCCCGTATCCTCAATATGTCTAAATAGTTGCTACATATCACTTCTCTCACCTTCCCCTCCCTCACTATTCAAAGAGCACAGGCTTCCCTGTCGCCTATTTTCCGCCACCAGTATAGCACAGACATACACGTACCCACACTAACGCCTGATCACAGTACAAACAGCTACTCCAGAAAGATCGACAATACACCACCGATCCTACACACAAATGGCTTATAACAATACCATCTATCTGTGTCCAACTGACGAAATATGAGATAGTGCTTCAAGGTAATGCTTGTCACAACAAAGTTGTCAAAGACCACCACCTTTATTGGTTCGTTGATATGGGATTCAGTAGATACTTTCAACATGTCTTTCCAATTGGCTCAGCTTCTCTGCTTCAGCGTTGAAATTGCCTGCTATTATCATTATATCTCAATGTTTTGCTCTATATACCGAAATTCACACCGTCTGACACAATTCATCCCTAGCGTCATCCCAACTCCAGTCAGTCCACATGTAGACGGAGATTGCAAGTAAACAAGCACCAGCTGGTCTCATCATCATTACTACTTCCGACAGATTCATTCAGTCGGACAGCACACACACAGCTCTTCAGCGACATCCATTAGAAGAGTGTGCTTACTGTTCTATAACTCAATGCGATGACTACACCAATGACTCCACGAGAATCAACCACTGAATCTTTGCATACTTGTAAAGCTAACCACATGTATTCACCGCAATGGTCAACCGAAATCAAGGAAATAACCACACTAGAGTTCTGTATATGCGTCTCACAAACACAATATACATACATAGCTTAAGATTCCAGAATTCTGGTAAGAGATGCTTGTTGTCCGAATTGGCATAGGGTTCGGACATTGGAAGAACCAGTGTGAAACGCATAGAGAGGTTTAAGGAGACTAGGAGTGGTGTTTCACTGGCTTAGATCGTTGGTAATAGTTGCAGAGTGAGGTTGTGAACGATATAAGAGGCTTAATAGTGATTTCAGGAGGTGAAGACAAAGGTAGGGAACATAGGTTATGTTTGATTGCAGCTTTTGTACCGCTGGGAGTGTACGTGTGGTTGATACTTCCTGGTTGCCCACACCAAGGAAATGTTTCTGCAAGACACCTGAAATAGAAAATGAACTGAGGTATATTCGTTTTTAAGCATGACACTTATTGACGGGTGGAGTTAATGCGTGAACTTATAGTGCAATGTAAAAATCATGTTTAAGTGCTCAATGCAGGAGCACACCAATAATTTACTCAGTACTATGCAGCATTTGATGATAGATATTCTCTGGAATTGTATCTCTATGGTACTGAAATACTGTGAATAATAATAATTCTGCAGTATCTTTTTTTGAACTCATAGTTACGTAACTTAAAAGAGAGATTTTCTCCGTTCATTGTAACCACATCTCTCATATATCCATGCTTACCAGGAATAATAGTAAAAACGACTCAGATTTATCGATGCCTAAAGATCTCATGTTCATCAAGTGAAATATGCAATTTTCAGTGAGAATAAAGGTTATACACGAAAAATCCATCAAAATGATGACCAACGTTTACGACGTGGACAGATAAACCAACGTAGTACGTGACACAGAAGTGCATCAGGTCGAATTATCATACTTTCCAGCAGTATGCAAAAGAGAGTAAATGAAAGTAAACTAAAATGTCAACCTTTTGAAGATTAGGAAGATGCATATATCTGAATCACAGGATGGATTTTGCAGCCACATAACCAACAGTTCCGAAATATTGATTTATATCATCTCAAGAATTAAAAACAGCCAAAATCTGCCTACACATCACAGGCCAATGGTTAGAAACGATGTGAATCGATAACATCTTTTCGTCCGACCAACTTTAAGCTTCTTTACACATGGTTATATTTCGATTAGCATCGTACATCAACACATATGGCGGTTCAGTGTACAATATGTATGTCTAAACTAAACAAATCTACAACTAGACAACATAAATACTCTGGTTGTGTCCAATATAATGATAGTACTTACTAAAGCCTAAAATATCTTATTTTAACTGCAAACAACACACGACAGAAGATATTTCTACTCCTGCAAATACAAACCCGATGGGTGGGAATGAAACTTGAGTTAGAAATTTTATACAGCCATTAAATAAAACAAAGTGAATTTATCAAACTGTCTGTTAACGCATACGCACAACTGCCATAATGGGAACGAACGTTTAGAGGTTGTTCACCTCTTATGATTAGGCACTCACAGTACAAGGACTGTAAGGTTTCTCTTCACATCAAGTGCCGACTTAGTTTTCGGGAACCTTGGAGCATTTAAACATCAATAAAAATAAAACAGAAAGGGTGAAGGCTGTGGTGCATTCCTTCATTCACCACTGTATAACTTCCATGCGTTAAATAAATAAACAATGAGACTAATCAACACTTTGATAATCAAATACTCGGAAATTAAACTCCAACCTTGTTTAGATACTTCCGTCCATTTGGATATTATAGTTCGAAGAACAGATACTTGGAAACCCTTCGTGAATCTTGGTATTGTAGCTGCATAATGTACAAAAGCATATTGAAAAGTGAATTAGAAAAAACGAAGAAGAACAGCATAGCGCTTCAGTATTCAATATTACAAATATATAATGATACTAGCCAGTTACCAAGGCTGAAGCAGGTGGAGGAGCATTCAAACCTGGGAACAGTGCTTAAATGTAAATTTTCTCAGGTCATCATTGCACAGGATCATTTGAAGACTGCGATCTTAATGGAGTACCTTATTGGTCTCCTATCACAAGCTGATACACGCAAAAGTATACTTCCATGTTTTTGGTTGAAAGAAACAGGTAGTAATGAAGCTAGTGTGTGTGCAGTGGTGAGATAGAAGAGGAGACAGATAAGTACTTATAGCAATTCATTTATTCACATCCAGATAAAGCCTAACATCTTATTCAGACAGTGGACGAAACAGCAATAAGCACAGTTTGTAACCTACCTCAAAAAATGGTAAGCAAACACAATGGATTTTCGTAACGTTAGCTGAAATGACTAATGCGAGGAAACTCGCGCTAGGCGGCTCTAACCACAGTAAGAAGCAAAAGAAGCTGAATCGTCAATTTGCGAACAATCCTCACGATGAGCGCGAACGAAAGAGACGTATATGAAGAAGGCATCAGAGTTACCTTACATCCGCAAAATATCACTGCATACTAATGAGTACGATACGGAAACAGGATGACAACTTGGACCACACGCGAAAAAAAAACTGACAGAGTCTTACAATATACAGCTTGAAACCAGCAACGTTACTCACAAAAAGACCTGACGGTTTGCTCCAAAAAATTGTGAAGGATGAAGGTAGAGAATCAGTCTTTAAGGTAACGGAGGTACTAAGTCGTGTATAGGAATGAATGGTAGTCCCATCAAACTGGACCACTTCAAAGATCACTCTAGTGTATGATAAAGGAAATTAGTCTTCTTGTGACAGATATAGGGGAATCAGTTTGGCTAACATCGTGTTCAACATCCTGATGTACATAGTAATCCGATATCTTACTGGATCTCGAAAACAGCAAACTCAAGAAATGTAGACGGGTTTCACGCCTGGGAACAATTGCGTCGGTCAGTTTTCCATCCTTCCTCATGTTATCGAACACAGGTATACTTAGTGGCTATCAACACTTTCCATATTTCTTGATGTGATGGCAGCATTCGACTATGTCGATCGTGAGGCATCCTGACAATGTGACTGTGAAGAAAGCACCGAACAAGTATATTTGTGCTATTCAAAGGAAGCTGTTTACTCTAATTCACACAACCATGTGAAGGCTTGTGAGGAGTCGTCATGTGAATTGAAAACAACTATCGGTGTTGGCCAGGGATGACTGTTGTTGCCGTTCTTGACAAACTTCTTTTCAGATGTATTAATGGAGGTACCCTTGAGTAATTCTGACTTCTCTGGAAATGATGTACACGCTGGGAGTGGTTATGTCGTTAACTTGATGTAGACAGACGATATTGTTTTGTTAGATGAGGAGGGTGACAAATTGGAGTGTTGTAAACACGTTAAGCAGAAATCTGAGTATGATTGGCATGCGTTTCGCATTTGTCAAATGTATGATGATGACGCTTCAGGACTGGTGTGCGATAGCTCGCAGTTTAAGGATAAGGAGTGAAATGGTGGAATGCACTGATCGCTTCACTTAATTAGAGTGTTCACAATAGGATGAGGGCCGGTTTGTGACAAAACCTCGCCTTTCATGTAGGATGCCCGTTTGGGATTTTGCCTACTGGGACCAACTGTGTTGAAGATATCAAATTATGTGTTAAGGGATGAGTATATTGTGTTGCAGTGCGTTCCCTTCTGTTATACGGCTGTGAGATATGGCCCTTAAACGCAGAATATATGGAGCGGTTGAAGGTGTTTTTACCATAGCTATCTGGGTACCATTACTTGCGTATGGTGGAATCATCGTGAGAGCAATATCGAGGATAGGTTGAGTCCCAGGCAGGTCAGTCGATGAACTGGTTAACCTTTGACATGTGTTGGGCATGCTGAAGCACCGTCTACTTTCAAGTGCAATGCTACGAGGAGTTGGATTAGGTTGGATGGAGGTTCAGTGAGGCCTGATCAAGTCGTGGCACCAGTGCATGAGGTCTGACTGTTAGTCCGAGACGTCTGAGGCTACCTGGTTGGGGCCGCCGAGATGATAGGAAACAATGGTTGAGGAACCTTGGTGATGTGGCTGAAAATCGGTCACATTGGAGCAGATGTACTCACTCTTTGACGCCTTCCGAAGCTTGAGTGTTTTGACTAACCTTCATATCTGAATTCTTTCACCTCCCATTCATTCGCCTGTCTATATTGGTATTAGTCTTCTTCTTTCCACTTGTTCTTTATATACTGCTGTAACATCTGTTGAGTTGAACCTATGTATTTGTGTCTCGACCGATAGCTTCTACATTGACGTAGTGTTCGGCGTAGTATATCACGATGACGTGGAGAACTATGCTGGTGGAACGCTTATTACCTAGAAGTCCTAGCCATCCATCCAAATCAATATAGGACTAGGCATTACTGCGTAACAGTCCGAGTTTCCACAGCTCATGTCAGTACATCAAGTGAAAAGGCAGTGAAGTAGAAGAAAATTCAGTCAAAAGAAATATAAAGTCCGAAAAGAGAGAAAGGAAGAATGAGAAGAAGGTGAGATTTGGTATAGCGTCGTTAAGATGAGGATAATGTGCGTATACATCTGCTCACCACTGACATCGGTTCTCAGCCATATCGCCTGATAATGATCGCTCGGGGGCTTAAAAGCTAACAAGGTTGCGAAAGGGGTTGACACTTCCAGGCTGCCAACGCCACGAAGGATTAATTTTCCTTATAGTATACGAAAAAATGGATTAGTAACAGTGGTATGTGAATGGAAAACGCAAAATACATTCGTTTAGGGCCCGTCACACAGCTTTTTGAGAAGGAAGAGATTTATCTTTCTTGATTTAAGTCCAGCTAGAAAAGCTATACCGCAGAGTGGGGAGGGGTGTGCTACTTTTAGGTTGGCTTTTTCTAACCTCTTTCTTTTAGAAAAGGGAGCATCAGTATGGTATTGATGGTCATTCATGATAAACATCTTACTGCTGTAACAACCCCAGATAGACAGCAGAACAACTTCACCCTCGAACTCCCAACGTAGCATTGTAGTTTACATTAAAACGGAAACCACTTTTTTATCTTACCACTATCCAAGAGACCTTTCTGGTGCGGTCAAACCTCAACGTAGGTCGTCGAATCATTGTGATATGCAAGTCCAACCACAACGTCAAGATAGCAACTAATGGTCTTGACATTACTCGCAACTAACAGCGATTAACTCACTGAAGGTAATCGTCCCATATTCCCAGTGAGTTATGATAGGTCTCAAAAAGTATGACAACCACGTAGATGGATACTTAGGTAATGAATCCTCTTAATGTTTTCAACATAGCGATGGTTTATAGAGGTTTAGATCATAATAGGTGCAGGTAGATTTCACTCCATGGTCTAAGCTTGTGGACCACTGAATCATTTCAGCATTCAATTTGAATGAATAATAAGGTCGACATCAAATCCTTAAAGATTCCTAATTGATATCAACAGTATCCACACACCTTTGTGAAGTGTGCAAACATCCATAGTATATCTGTGATAATTTAGTAAAACAGTTAAGAGGTTTGTGGAGGCGTGATTTCGAAGCATCAATCACGAATGGAAATAGGCCATAGAACACCTAGAAACGGGGGGGTATTTAATAGCCGTTTCGTGGTGGTTTGAGACTTGTCCCGCAGTTCACACTCATAATCAAGGAAGTAAGTACTTCGAGATAAATTTACTTCGTCTTTTACTATTTTCATGGGAAGGCAACAAGAAATAAATATGCTAATCAGTTGCCCAACAGTAACCAAAGCCATATAACTGTCAACAGTGATAAAATTTTACCAATCAGACCGTTTGATACAGCTACGACAGTATATATATAGACAGTAACTACGGTGCATTATGTCACTTTTCGTGGATTGAGAAGAACAGAGTACTGACCAGAAACTCAACTACATTTTATGGCAATGCACCTACGTAATCCCATAGACATGTAAACCCCACCTAAGATCTCAACCCGGGCAAATCGATATTGAAGTAGTCTGCCATCCAAATACCGCAACAAAACTACACTGATTTCATTCAGTAATTAGATATAGTAATTCGACACAGATTTCTATGGAACTATAAATTAACACTATTCATTCAGTTCTGTAACTCAATGTAGGCGATTTCTACAAGGGCACTGCACGACAGGTCTCCATTATTGGTAGAAGCATATAATTCTTCAGCTTCGGGAGTTTGCATTAAGAATAGTGATAGACAAAACATGTGACTTTCGAATAGTCGTATCTAGCCAACCAATCAGTGAGTATAACAAGCACAATTTTAACCAGTAATGATTAAGCAAGAGATATTACACAAAGTTAATAAAAGGAAGGGAAAATCATACCAAGGTATATCACAATATTTGCCGTTGGAACGGGGAATTTAAACGCCAAACCCGTAACAATTTGGTGAATGGATAAAGTATCAATCCAAAAAATACCAATGAAATCAAGACAATTTGATCCACAGACTTTAAACGACCCATCAGAGTTGAATTGTTTTTATTTGAAACAGGCACCGAATTTCTTTTACACCCTCACAATCACCACTTGAGAATTTTGATGACTGATTCCTTTGAAATCTTGCCACTAGGCTGACACATAAAACAGACATGAAGGTACAGCTTACATCTCTTAAACCTCTAAGGGATGAAACAGGAAAAATTAAAGCTGTGTTAATAAAAGTAATTTGAAAATTCCAGAATGTGTACAGCAATAAGTTTACTTTCGTTACAAAATGAAATATTCGTCTAACTGGAGTATATGTTGAAATAAAAATGATAACAACGCTTGAAAATCAAAACTAAGTATTTAATTACCTGGCAGCCATACACTAACAATGAAAAAACCAGGATATTCAATGTGTTGTCAAATTTTGAAAGATAATTGGAACTAAGCTATGGAGCGATGTTTCAGGTTTCCTGGTATTCACTAATAGGGCTTATTTGCCACCATAAGGAAGCGGACTTTCTCCCTATGATTCTTATTCGCATATATCAGTGTAAATAAATAATTTTAGAGTTCTTCGAAAATATAAATGCCCGGTCTCTAAACAGAACCCAAGGTAGACTTGATGTTCGAATGCTAACTGGACAATATGAGTAAATTAACACTGCAGTATACCGCTGAAAGAATTGATTCCATGGTGAATCCAACCTCAATATCATTTGGATATCCAAAGGTGTACAGTAAATAAAATAACTAGACTGTGGAGTACATCTACCCCTGGGAAGCAGCTCGGTATAGCGAATAACATATCTGGCTTCTTTACAAAGATCTACTTCTTCCGGATAAGCAATGCAACCATACTTATCTACAAATCAAGAGTCACGCTCTTAATTTCTAGACTTGCCATCCTAGTCTTTCAATCACGAATAAAAAGGCCTCACGGGTGCAGACACTAGTGCTCTGATCAACATCTCATAGCAGTTCAAGCAACTACTCTACATTATGCTCACCATGGGCTTATTCGATTTTTCTGTGAAATCAATCTCCAGCTTACCTGCTATTAGTGTCGCATCAAGCGTTAACGCCGACGCCAAAATAGATGACTCGATTTTCTCATATGTCGTATGGGTGCTGCCGTTACTCGAGGAGGTTCCTTCAAAGTAAGAAGTAGCTGTCAAGGCGAATCATGTTTCTACGTCATTTCAGCCTAAGCTCCCACAGACTACAACCCCAGTGCAAGTGAGGATGAGTTCTGTCGTCAATCGCAAGGTGCTATGACTCGCCACAGCCAACAAGTAGGAAGAGGCTTCGTGCCAAGAAGACAGTCTCTAAAACTGGTTGGAACTCTAATCAATAGTCTTCAGAGACGACTGAAGCACAATGCTGACTACTTCCGAAGTCAACTTAGCCCAATAAATTCAGCTTCTGTTTTCCACGTTTCATGACTACTGAATACTTACCCACCAAGACATCCATCATTCATCCAAATCAATATAGGACTAGGCATTACTGCGTAACAGTCCGAGTTTCCACAGCTCATATCAGTACATCAAGTGAAAAGGCAGTGAAGTAGGAGAAAATTCAGTCAAAAGAAATATAAAGTCCGAAAAGAGAGAAAGGAAGAATGAGAAGAAGGTGAGATTTGGTATAGCGTCGTTAAGATGAGGATAATGTGTGTATACATCTGCGCACCACTGACATCGGTTCTCAGCCATATCACCTAGGGTCTCCAACCACTGGTTCCTCTCGTCCCGTGGACCTTAACCGGTCAGTCTGTCTCACCCCACATGACTCAAACCAACAGTCAAAGACTTCATACATAATGCCAGAACCTACTTCGGCCAACATTGTGATGAGGCATACGTAACACATGTCCCAGCCATCTCAGTCGATGAAGGTTCACAACCTCGTCTACCGACTTATCTCTTCTCCTTAAGACTCTACACCTGGCTTCTGTGTTACTCACATGGTGACACTACGGAATACGGCCTATATTACGAAGGCAACAGTGGTCAAACACCTGAAGCCAGCCTTCTTATGTCTTTCACCTTCAACGGCCATGTTTCACAGCCCTACAGTAGAACAGAGCGAACTGCTGTGCAGTACACGCGACCCTTAATAGACAATCGGATATCACGGCGGCTCCATAGGTGGCGTAAGTTGGCGAAAGCCAGCCAAACCTTTTACATTCGAGCAGAAATTTCATCGCCAATGAGCCACTAGGACTGATCCTACTTCCCAGGTAAGTGAAGTGGTCGGCACACTCAACCATTACACTCTCTATTGTTAGCCGAGGCACTGCTGAAGACCAATCCTGGAACAGTAATTTGCAGCTGGCTGGTGAGAAACGCATCCCAAACATTCCCAAATTCCTACTCTAAGTGTTCAGAAGACTCTGCATCTTGTCAGCGTCTTCCGCTAACAGGACTATGTCATCTACGTATTCTAGGTCTGAAGAAAATTCTCCCGCGATCAGGTCAACCTCTGTGTAGTCCGGTGACAAGAGAGAGACCTCTATAAGAATATCCACGGTAAAAGTGAATAAGAATAGAGTCGGCAGCCTTGACGGACACCGCTCGACGAGTACAGCTACTCGAACATTTCACCATAGGCCCACAAGTGTTCAAGTAGAGAGCCTTCAGTGAGGTGTTATGAATCACCAATAGACATGGTAATTCATAACACACAGTGAAAGTGTTATTTACTTGATGACGTTTTGAGCGTAAATTATTACTCATAATCATATGAACATGAGCAATAACTTATTCTCGAAACGTCATCAAGCGAATAATACTGTGTCGTTGTATGTTATAAATCAAATAGACAAATCTAATATGGGACTACAGTTTATCACAGTGCCCAAGTTTTACATTTAGTGGCGATTCAGACATAAGGAACTTGGATCGAGCGACTTACCGTCATCTCCATTTAATGGTGGACGTGACATTGCAGTTTGGACACTGAGTTGATTATCAGAGTGACCGACTCAGTTTTCTTTTGTTCTAAAATAGGGCCGGAGTTCTCATCTTCAAAAATGTCCTACCTCACCAGAGCGGAAATTATCAGAAATTCAGTCTGCTACCAGTTGCTACAGAAATACTGTCTTGCCCTACACTTCATAAGCTCTACAAAGCGCTTGGAAAGTTGATTTGCGAACTGCAGGTTAGGCTTTGTTCATATCGTAGATACCTTCAACGCGTGTTCACCCATACATCGTCAGATGCTTGGAAACAGTCATATGTACAGCAGGTCAATAAATGTCCCACTTTTTGATATTATAGTCGCCTTCAATTCGTTCAACAACGTTATGCTTTGAAATTTTGTGTTACGGAGAGCTGTTTTTGAGAGGTATCTTGGTATCTTCAAGCCAGTATCTAGAAATATCTGACGTAAACTGATGGCATACCACCATCCATTAAATCACTCAGAAATAGCAGGGTTTTTTTTCAGCTAGACGGAAACCTGTTCATTAAGTATTCAGACAATTTGGTGTGTGAAGTTCTAGAGAAAAGTTTGTTCATGTTTTACTTCTGTTATTCGTGTTGCTTCATAAGATTCAAATTATCGAGCTTATCAGTGAATTGGGAAAATAAATATTATCAAACAATATACATCAGACGCCGTGCACACATGTTGCAGTTGATTTCGATCTATTGTAGTGAGCTAAAGAAAAGTCTAGCGAGAGTTGCTTGATATTATAGTACTTTTTTAACTGTACCACAAAGGATATTCTTGAAACAACATTGAAGGAGATGCTTGGTCATGGTGTAAATCTACTACCAAAAGAAATCCTTTCAACCTTTAGTATACCAATGACACTGCATACATTTTCAACTACGAAAAGACTTCTCAGAACGCCCCTAAATGGTGATTAGTACGGTATTCGCTTTTCAATAGTTAAGTGCAAAGTATCGTTACGAGATCAACAGGAGCTTACGCTTATTTTTGCTGGGGTTAATTTCGTGAAATAGAGTAGTCATTCGAGCGCGAACGAGCAGCTGACTTGGGAGGTTTCTAACTAAGTACCTAAAGTCATATATTCATGCACTAAACTAGGCCAACTCTGGTGTCATGACAACGTTAGTTTGTCTGAAAAAGTCGGAATCTGCAATGCACTGAAGTTAGCGATTCTGACCTAGGCCTGTGAAGCCTGGTTTACCGAGAAAAGATAATAAACTAGGCAACGAAACATAGTTCGTGAAAATGCAGCAAAGTACTTGAACTTTCGAAAATTTTCAGAAAATCTAACCAATATTTTGAGTTATTCAAATCAGCTTTCAAAAAGAAACTATCTGTTCTATAATTATTGATGGATGAAATTACTGATTATTCTACAAGATCTATCCGATGGCTAATATGTTAGATTAGAAATATAACTTCATAAGTAAAATACACTATTAAGACGAGATAGACACAAAAGTTGAATCAATAAAATGATGCTTACATGAATAACCCAAGTGTTTGAGTATTCCAAAGGAAAGGATCACTCATCAAATAGAGGCTTACATATGGTACATCAGTGATACCAGAGATAGAAAACATGAAAATCAAGGCGGTTATTATGAAATGTGTTCGAGGTAACTGCGATATTACCTGGAGGGAAATTATAGAAATTTTTTAGCCACTCATATAGTACACTGCACAAAGTATAAAAATTCAGTGTACAATAAGGATGAAACAATTCCTTATATCCATGGGAAATTTGTGCATTGTAGAGAGAATCAATTTATTTTTATTTCTTTATTACTAACATTTCCAATTAACTGAAACAATTTCAGCTACAAAACCATAACCTAAAGTTTTTCAACACTTTAATAAATTACAATTGCGAAAATATCATTTTGAGAGAACACAACCAACAATCGAGTTTACTACAAGTGCAGTTGAAATGGAAGATGACCGTAAAATAATATTGATCAACCTGGCTCAGGAATAAATACGAACAAAAAACACTGATGGAGAATTTCGAGCAGAAGTAAAACGGCGCATCACAGATAGCATTGGAAAAAAAAATCTAGTGATAATGCCAACGAGTAGATATACATTGTCACCACTATGCCGGCATGTTATCAAGGGTATGCTATTTCTAATTGACTGTAATACGATGTCAACAATACAAAGTACACAATATTGTTTAGTGTAATTTGCATCGCGAATAGAATAGTGAACCATATATTACATACTTCATTATGAGTGAACTTCAAAACAGTCATCAACTCATACAATAAAAATATCATATGGAAAGATTACAGATAGATAAACAGAAAAAATAGATGTAGAACCTCACACACAAGTGCATGGGTTCAACTAACCATACTTCACAGTAGCATGCGAAGAACTAGTTAATCGAAAACTACTAATATCAAAGTAGTAAAAAGGTGCATGGGAGGTGAAGGCATTTAGAAATATAGGTCAGTCAAAACATTAAAGCTTCAAAAGATGTCAAACAGCGAATACATCTGCAAACCAATCCTGGGGCTTGATATCACATTCGACACAAGCGAAACACATTCACAGGACTCGATGTTGTCAGCGTCCTCACCTAACAGGAATATATTGCCTGCCTACCCAAAGACAGCCACACGCATTCCACCCACAGGTGAGCAATTCAATGCAAAAGAAGTCAAAGTTGCTCAACGTTACGTCCATTATTAGATCTAAAAAGAAGTTGAACAGTAAAGACGATAGCAGTCATCCTTGAGCAATATCAATGGTTGTCGTCAATTCACATGACGACTCCTCACAAACCTGCACACGGTTGCATGAGTTACAGTAGACATCCCCTGCGAATAGCACAACATACTTGCTCGGCACTCCCTTCACAGTCACACACTACCACAATACTTCACAGTAGACAGAGTCCAGTGCTGCCTTCACGTCAACAAATATACCAAGTGCTGATCACAATGTCAGCATTCCATAACATGATGAAGGGTGAAAACATGACCAACACAACCCACCTGGTTTCCTCCAGTTTGCTGTTATCGAGATCCAGTTAGGTGTTGGAAAACTATGCACCCAGGAACTTGAACATGAAACTAGTCACACTGATTTCACTATTACTGCCACAAAATGCTACCTTGATCTCGTAAAAATTAGAATGATTAGCCAGACAAGACTACAAATCATTCCAATACACTGCCAACTACCTCCATCACCTTAAACACTAATTCTCTACCTCCATCCCTGAAAGTGTCGGGTGACAAAACTTCAAGACCTGTTGCTCTGCATCCTTTCACATTTCAAACAACATTCTCAACATCAACGAGAAACGAAGTACCGACACCCATATCCCATTCAGGTTAGGGACGTAGGTTCGCCAACTGAAACATTCCGATGGGCCAGTTGAACATAACTTCGAATTCCCCGCAAAACACTGTAGCCATCTGTTCTGAGAGGTTATCACACCACCACCTTCCTTCTCGCTAATGGTCTCAGTAACAATATCTTTCTTCTTGCTCCCATCCCGAATACGCCTAAATAGTTGCCAGATATCACTTAATCCAGACGCCTTCTCCACCTCTCTCACCTTTCCCACTCACCACTCCACGGGCACATCCCAACAAACTTCTCGCGAACTTATGCCTCAACTACCATCGCTTCTCATTGTAGTCACAGCCAGCTACGATGAGTCCTCTCATATCAGTCACTTAGCACGATGTTGCGAAAATCCAATGACATTTGCTAACCGCTGCATGGAGGCTATCAACTCTCTTTATCGCTGTTTCAACAACACAATGAATACCTCAACACATTTCCTCAGGATTACCATACATGTCATGTTCAAATAAATGCCTAGCTATCTCTTCCTCATATACACACAGTCCAGTAAACAAAGGCTACACTGTCGTCTATTTTCCACCACCAGTATAGCACAGACATACACGTACCCACACTAACGCCTGATCACAGTACAAACAGCTACTCCAGAAAGATCGACAATACACCACCGATCCTACACACAAATGGCTTATAACAATACCATCTATCTGTGTCCAACTGACGAAATATGAGATAGTGCTTCAAGGTAATGCTTGTCACAACAAAGTTGTCAAAGACCACCACCTTTATTGGTTCGTTGATATGGGATTCAGTAGATACTTTCAACATGTCTTTCCAATTGGCTCAGCTTCTCTGCTTCAGCGTTGAAATTGCCTGCTATTATCATTATATCTCAATGTTTTGCTCTATATACCGAAATTCACACCGTCTGACACAATTCATCCCTAGCGTCATCCCAACTCCAGTCAGTCCACATGTAGACGGAGATTGCAAGTAAACAAGCACCAGCTGGTCTCATCATCATTACTACTTCCGACAGATTCATTCAGTCGGACAGCACACACACAGCTCTTCAGCGACATCCATTAGAAGAGTGTGCTTACTGTTCTATAACTCAATGCGATGACTACACCAATGACTCCACGAGAATCAACCACTGAATCTTTGCATTCTTGTAAAGCTAACCACATGTATTCACCGCAATGGTCAACCGAAATCAAGGAAATAACCACACTAGAGTTCTGTATATGCGTCTCACAAACACAATATACATACATAGCTTAAGATTCCAGAATTCTGGTAAGAGATGCTTGTTGTCCGAATTGGCATAGGGTTCGGACATTGGAAGAACCAATGTGAAACGCATAGAGAGGTTTAAGGAGACTAGGAGTGGTGTTTCACTGGCTTAGATCGTTGGTGATGGTTGGAGAGTGACAGTCTGAGAAAGATGCAAGATGCTTGGTATTGGTATCACGCGAAGGCAAGGAGGGTAAGTTGTGTTTTATTGGATATTTTATGCTACTGAAAGCTTGCGGATGGTTGATACTTCCTAGCTGGCTACAGCGTCGAAGTTATTTCTGCAGGGTAACTTAAAAAGGGAAGGATTTGTGTGAGAGCGAGCTCATGGAGATTTCCTTGACAGCCTACTGTTACCGTACCCTTTTCAGCTAGAAGTACAGCTTCGCCCTCGGACCCGTGCGACAGCGCTGAAATTCACACTACAACGGCAATTGTTTTTTGTTTTACCAATATCCAAAATACCTTTCTGTCATGGTCAGATTTCAAGGAACAAGCGTTCTAGTCAGTGTGGCTAATTGGGTCATCAGGATATGCAAGCCCAACCACCATGTCAAGGTTAGCAGCTATCGGCTGACTTGCGAAAAAATAAAATAATAGATATTACAATGCGCGTTCTTATACACGGTAAGGACTTGAAATGTTTGAACTAATAAATAAAGGGGTTATTTATGCTAGATTGAGAGTGAATGACCGAAAATTGGTTTGTTTAATCGATAGAGAAGCAACAGTTTCGTTGATAATCCGTGGTGATAATCACAGGAGAATCACTCGGACGAACATAGCATATAAGAATCTAAGTTCTGTAATAATTAGGTACCTAAGTAAAACTTTGGAAGAGCAAACCCAAAAAAAACCAGTGAGGTTCATCAACCAGATATTCATCCTCTATCAGATTGTTGAAGACAGGCATACTGGTATGTAACACCATCCATGCTTTTTAACCAGGTGACATTATTTGATCAATTGAGATATCTTTCGGCAATGTGTCTGGTTGAAATGAGTTTCAAGTGGATATATTATTATGCCGGATACTCTGTATGTGAATAACCAAGGGCATGTAACAAACTAATGTGAACTAAAATGTGACTTGTGTACATCCAGGTGTGTCCATTAATAATGTTCACCCTTTTCATGCTCATCTTACTTTATTATATATGTTCTGTTCGTAGCCTTGATCGTGTACCATAAATCCAGTACGTTAGCAACGTAAGTGTTGGATGCAGAGTTTGGTGAGAACGGAGTAATTCAACTAATGAGGTCTTTAGGTTGGAATTCATCATCGACTGACATCAGTTAGAGGAACATTGGAAACCTTGGAGGACTGGACAGCTGTTTCGCCCTATTATGGGACTCCTCAGCAGTGCGCATCCATGCCCCCCCCCCTCAGGTCTTTAACTTTTGGTTTGAGTGATGTGGGTTGATGTTGAATTCAAGGTTAGAGTCGACTTGACAATTAATGTGCGCTAATGTCACACTCCGTATTTTTACTGAATCCTTTGATCTAGTACATTTTAAAAAATGGATCGTTTAGCAGAAAGATAATGATACGATTAACGGAGATAATGGTCGGTGCACAGCAAACTGACCAGCGTTTAAGGTCAAAGTCCAAACTTAATATCATATTTTCAATCTTATACTTTGTTTGTAGTGATTTCCTTAAGTACTGACAGATCTTTGACTGTGAAAAGTATACAAAGGTATAAACATAACTGACTGAGGAACATAACGACTTTTATCACAGCTTCATCTTCAGAATGTGTCTAATTCAAATTACTCATATTTGGTTGCTACACTAAAATGTATTGTTTTTCTACCAGCCAGTCAAGAGGAAGGTATACAGAGAGGGATTTATTAACGAAGGGTTTAGTTGTAATATTACGTTTAAATGGTTACAGTGTTAATTTATCTAAATATTGCAATATATACAAAGATTTTATAGCAGCAATTTGTCAACTATCCAGAATAAATAATGCTAACTGGCCTTATGTTTAGTTATTGTTGTCTCTGAAATATTACACGTATTTCATAAGTATGGCTGGAAAAAACTGGAAAAACTACCTTAAAGTAGTTCGAAACCGACGAATGACTAATATAATGTATAAAGCCATGACAGTACTCAAAATATATTTACACAGATGACAAGGTAACAATAAATGTACTCTTACTCGAAAGCTGCTCATATAGTTGGTAGTAGATCGCACGTGAACAGAGTATCCATCGAATGAACGTTTATCAGCACTTTCTGCTGAAACGATTGAAACGTTGTCACACAAATCATCAGATGGATTTTCAGTGGCCGTTCGTTCGACTTGAACTACCTTTATGCTCGTCTCAGTCATAAAATATAAAGCAATTGGCAGTGGGATTAAGAAGGCAATACAAGTCAACATAGTTGCATCGAAACGATAATGTACAATCAAAAAGCCTGTAGAAAAAAATTAGAAAAACAGTTTAAGCAGGATGAATTATATTTCAAAAAACACATTGAGCATACCCTGATCAATATTAGTCCAGTTTACACGTGAAAAAATCGAATTAAGGAAGTCACAATCGTACAGTGCTATGCTACGCACCTACAAATAATGCAGATGAAGAGAAGAAGGAGGAATTCTACAGACAACTGCAATCAACACTGGACAAGACTCCACTCCAGTTGGCGATATCAAATTCTAATGGGTGATGTGACATGAATGCCAATTAAACTGGGAGCAGACAACACAGGAAGAGAACTAACCATGGGTCGAGAAGCACTCGGTGAGGTGATGAACGAGAATGGAGAATGGTTTGCAGAATTCTGTGCATTCAACGATTTGGTGATTGGAGTCAGGCAGTGTGTTCTAGCACAAGGATATCAACAAAGCGACATGGATCTCACCAGACAGCAGGACACACTAAAAATCAGATCAACTTCATCTCAATGTGAAGAAAGTGTAGACGCAGCCTACTTGACACTAGGCTAAGAAGAGGAGCAGATGTAGGCTCAGACCACTATCTACTGCAAGGAACCTTCCAAATCAAGTCGAAAGCCTTGAAGGAAGCTGGTGATAGACCACAGTTCAAGTTCAACACAACTTAAGGACGAAACTACAAAGAAAATCTTCACGTCAGATATCAAGACAAAATGGGAGATACCAAGCAACATCCCTGAAGAAACCTGTGTGGATGAGCACTTGAACTCCTTGAAAGCGATGTGGAAAGAAACCTGCATAAAACACTCGACAAAGAAGTGAAGAAGAGTTCACGCAAAGACAAAAGACACCTCTACGAAACACTAGCCAGTGAAGCAGAACAGGATGCAGGTAGAAGAGACAGAGACCTGACAACATTATATCAAATAACCAGGCTACTATCTGTGAGGGAAGAGATCAACACTGACGAAACCAATAAATGATGATGAAGAAAATTTAATTACCAAAGAAGAGGAACAAAGAAAACGATGGGCCGACCACTTCAAGAAGCTCTTGAATCGACCACATGCACTTCGTCTAGAAATACCACCAGCAGCCCAGCCGCAGAACTACAAGTGAACATAAATCCCCCAAACAAAAGTCGAAGTCCTGAGCGACACAAAGCTACTGAAATGTGGAAAAGCAGCAGGTCCAGATGGAATTCCATCAAAAGCACTGAAAACAAACGCAGAGACAACAGAGGACACGCTCACACCACTATTGCAGAAGGTTTGGAAAGAAGGGAGGAAAGGTACCTGCCGACTGATTGGAAGAAGGGCTACCTTGTAAAACTTCCAAAGAAGGGAGACCTCAGTGTTTGCAGGAACTGGCACGGAATCACGCTCCTGTCCACCCCGAGGAAAACATTAAGCCGCATCATCCTGGAGAGACTAAAGGATGAGCTGGAGTCAAACTATCACCGAAACAGGCTGCTGGATTCAGGAAGTACAAATCATGTACGGATCAAATTGCAACGCTATACTACACATCATCATAGAACAGAGTATAGAATGGCAGTCAACCCTCTACCTCAACTTCATCGACTTTGAAAAGGCCTTCGACAGTGTCGACCGAGAGGTAATTTGGAAGCTGCTTCAATACTACGGAATACCACAAACATTTATCAGCCTCATTCAACAACTATATGAAGATGCCACATGCCAAGTAATTCACAATGGGAGGCTCAGTGAGACCTTTGAAGTGAAGACAGGAGTGAAACAGGGCTGTCTACTATCACCCATGATATTCCTGATTGCAGTGGACCGGATCATGCAGGAAACAGTGAGGAGCTGTGAGAAGAGGGGGATAAGCTGGCTGGACGAGGGAAGAGATCCCAGAAGATTTGGATTTCGCCGATGACTTATGTCTAACGTCGCACAAACTTGAAGATCTACAGGAGAAAACTAACAAGTTGACAGAAGAGGCAAGTCAGGGCAGTGAAGATGGGACTTCAAGTGAATATAGAGAAGAAAGAGGTGATGAAGATGCCTAACCAACAACACCAACAAACTCCAATCACCATCAACGGGAGAAACGTAAAGGAAGTAGCCTCCTTCACCTACCTAGGCAGCATCGTTTCAACTACAGGCAGCACAGATGAGGACTTCAAAGCCAGCCAGGATCGGAAAAGCAGGACAGGCATTCATTAGCCTGAAACCAGTGTGGAGATCTTCTGCACTGGACTCCACTCAACATAAAGCGTGAACACCAACGTCAAGTCAGTGCTTCTATGTGATGGTTGATGGACTTGGTGCGTTACGAAAAGCATTTCCAACAAACTACAGACATTCATCAACAACTGCCTACGCTGGCTCGTTACTGAAGCTCAGATGGCCAGAAAGAATAAGCTACAAGGAACTCTGGCCTGCCAACGAACCAACCAAGAACCTATCGCTGAACAAGTATGCATTGGAAGGAAGTGGAGATGGATTGGGCATACACTGAGAAGGCCGACTGGGGACACATCACGCGCCATATCAGGCCGTCGAGTGGAACTCCGATGGGAAGCGACGAGTTGGGCGTCCCAGCTGAGGGTGACATGGAGGAGATCGTGTGAGGAAGAAATGAGAGCTTGTGGGCTGTTGTGGAGCCAAGTTGAAAAGATTTCAGAGAACAGAGTGCACTGGAGACGTGCTACTGAAGCCCTATGTTCCACTAGGAACCTAAGGGACAAATAATAATATAATAAACTCTCTTTTCATAATTAAGATAATTATTCTCAAACTTTTTAATTTTACATTTATTGATCAGTGGAGCATAGCCAATTTTGTGCTATTTAGTCCTAGGTGCTGATCGACGTCTATTGATCATTTGCAATGTGGTCATCAAGCTAAGCTATCCATCATTTTGGCAAATTTTGACGGATACCTCTTGGTGAGACTTAATCACGGGGAAGCTCTAGACCTAGGATTCAGAGCTTGTTGGCATTCGTGAACAAGATATATCAGCAACCTGAAGAGAATTAATATCGCTTCAGAGACTGCAACAAGCGTTCTCTAGTGCTGCGGTAGCAACTGTAACTCAGTAGTCAGTTCAAGTATTGTTACACTGATGCATCAACCTCCGAAAGGAATAAAGCGAGGAAATCAAATACACATTGTATGAAATACCATATGTCAACTTTTCAAAAAAACACGCTTTATTTCGAAAGGATTCAGAAATCCGTACTTGACTACCGAGGTTAGTGAGATCATTTTGCCTTCCCGCTTAATTTTGTCAAAGAGACTCTTCCAAGCGCAGATCCCAGTAGTTTGTAATTACATAAGTGATATGAGATATTCATGATAAAATAGCCAGATATAACAAGAAATCAGGTGAACAATTATAATGATTATCCGCCGGACAATATTACAAAGTTGACGGAAGCTATGTGATTCCATTTTAGTTGATTTATAAGGTATGCATCTTGATATGACTATGGATAATAAATTATGTGTGAAACGTAATCTAGTAAACAGTACTGTTCCACCACAAGATATATATAATAAACCAAATAAAGTGTAACTATATTCTACTGTAATGCTCTTATATTAAGTAGGCTTTGTCAGTTCAATAAGTTACTTGGGTAATGGATAAAATCGAATCGGCACCCCACGCTAGATAAGCACTATGTTTAGCGCCTGTTAATCGTTTTGTACTTTTTCAAGAAACACCTATAGTATGTAAATTACTGCTTAAAGAAGTAAAACTACACCAGAAGGTATCGGTATCTAATTTACGTACTAGGAGAATGCAATAGACATACATTGATGCACGCCAAATATTTCAAATTATACAACTAGATAACTTCTTAAAGACAAAAACGTCAACAGCTAATAAGATTGCCCGATATGTCGAGTTAGTTACCTACCTGTCAGTACATTCGCAAATGCCATCCCACATGTAAGTACACTATCCAGTAAAGTAAACAAAAGCCAACGTTTTTTAATCATTCTTTTTGCATGTTTCATTTGATCAATATTCGAGCCCGGTACGATTACATATTTCGTAATTTGAGTCATATCTGCTATGCAGGCTGCTAACTGTGCTGAAACTGATAATAATCCACCTCCAATAGATCCTTCTAATATTTCACACAGTATAAAACTCCATGGAGACAGATTGAAAAACACTATAACACCTTTAATCAAAGAAAATTGACAAAAAGTCGAACATTCAAGAAGTGATTACCATAGAAGAATGTAAAACTTGAAAAGTAGTTGCCACTCCAGCAAAACTTAATGAGTAGATAGAACGACATGACTTATATACACAATAAAATCAAAAGTGATGTTGAATTATGTTTAATACTCAAAGATAATGAAATACAGTGATTTTCTTGCGCGAGATATACAAAATCCTTCGTGAGTTACATGATAAGCAAAAGTAGAAAAGTATGCATACATCAGTTCGGTTTGGATGCATGATTTCATAGGTAAAATTCTGCTAGACGATTTTGTTTGGTAGCTGTTATACATGTCTACTTCTAGCAATAGCATGAGGATAAAATCCGTAGGAGTGGCTTACAACTTTTGATTATACATAATCCTAGATTCTATATTATCTACACGGGAAGATACCAAACCATAAAACACGAAAATAAAACCGATTTTTTCAGAACGGATTCGCTCAATGTGAAAAGATTCACCTCCTACAGTAATTGCAAGATACTACGATCACTTGATAAATAAGCTCAGAACCTTGTAATGCAAATCAAAACATAAAACTTTGTCTCCAATAATTTATTTCAGCCTCTTACGGTGACTGATATACTGTAAAACAATAACTAAAAACTTAGGACTTGATGAGTGATACATTTTAACATGCAACTGATATATTAATCGGAGAGCATGATTACAAAGCATGATCTCACGTCTCTATTTTCTATACAGATTTCAGAACAGTCAAATATACATAAGGAATATGTTTGACGAATATGAAAGCCAAAGTAGCTCACCTTGACGTAAACATAAACACGAAAACTTGCTCTCAGTGTTGAACATTAAAGAACACTGTACCATTATGCGCTATATTTAAAGAAATAAAATGACATGAAACTATGCCACATAGCAGCGTGCCCGAGTATCTTTCAGCCTGATAGATCCCAGGTTTTGTTACTCTCCAATAAATTAGGCTGCCGAAAGTGTTCTCTTAAAACATCACCCTGCATCTACGAAATTTCTTAGATATATATTGATCATCTATACTTTGTTTTATTTATAGTCAAAGTTATTGGTGATTTGTCAAAGGAAATGTGCCTTAAACATTCGATACATACGTTGCAGTTCAGTTGAAGTACAAACAAATATTTATCCTTTCTTTTCAAACCATTAAAAAGATGTAAAAATTGTACCGTACTACAACCTTATTCAGGTGATAAAATACCTTAAGATAAGACGAAGTTGAACAACAATAAAACATTTCTTAAAGAATAAGGAAAGATAACTGAAAATGTTATTTATTTGAAATTAATAGTGCGTATTAAGAATAGCACAGCTGAATATCCACCGACGTAATGCCCACATGGTTTGTATTCCAATAAATTACTTAAATAAACTTCATCTGTAAGTGTTTGCCTTAATCACCGCAAATGTCATCACAGAAATATTAGTAATGCCAGGCTAAACGTATCAGGCATTCGAAATCAAAATAACGAAACATTTTTACGGCATCATAACGCAATAAGTTCCAGTATATTTCAAAGTAGTAATCATACCAACTTTAAAATTAAATCTAGTTTCGCCGCAACCCGTCAACAAACATTTCTGAGTATATCCAAGTGAACATAACAAAACACAGATAAGTGAGCAAAATACATTATTCAAAGTATGCTATTACTAATTGACTGTAATACGATGTCAACAATAGCAAAGTACACAATATTGTTTAGTGTAATTTGCATTGCGAATAGAATAGTGAACCATATATTACATACTTCATTATGAGTGAACTTCAAAACAGTCATCAACTCATACAATAAAAATATCATATGGAAAGATTACAGATAGATAAACAGAAAAAATAGATGTAGAACCTCACACACAAGTGCATGGGTTCAACTAACCATACTTCACAGTAGCATGCGAAGAACTAGTTAATCGAAAACTACTAATATCAAAGTAGTAAAAAGGTGCATGGGAGGTGAAGGCATTTAGAAATATAGGTCAGTCAAAACATTAAAGCTTCAAAAGATGTCAAACAGCGAATACATCTGCAAACCAATCCTGGGGCTTGATATCACATTCGACACAAGCGAAACACATTCACAGGACTCGATGTTGTCAGCGTCCTCACCTAACAGGAATATATTGCCTGCCTACCCAAAGACAGCCACACGCATTCCACCCACAGGTGAGCAATTCAATGCAAAAGAAGTCAAAGTTGCTCAACGTTACGTCCATTATTAGATCTAAAAAGAAGTTGAACAGTAAAGACGATAGCAGTCATCCTTGAGCAATATCAATGGTTGTCGTCAATTCACATGACGACTCCTCACAAACCTGCACACGGTTGCATGAGTTACAGTAGACATCCCCTGCGAATAGCACAACATACTTGCTCGGCACTCCCTTCACAGTCACACACTACCACAATACTTCACAGTAGACAGAGTCCAGTGCTGCCTTCACGTCAACAAATATACCAAGTGCTGATCACAATGTCAGCATTCCATAACATGATGAAGGGTGAAAACATGACCAACACAACCCACCTGGTTTCCTCCAGTTTGCTGTTATCGAGATCCAGTTAGGTGTTGGAAAACTATGCACCCAGGAACTTGAACATGAAACTAGTCACACTGATTTCACTATTACTGCCACAAAAATGCTACCTTGATCTCGTAAAAATTAGAATGATTAGCCAGACAAGACTACAAATCATTCCAATACACTGCCAACTACCTCCATCACCTTAAACACTAATTCTCTACCTCCATCCCTGAAAGTGTCGGGTGACAAAACTTCAAGACCTGTTGCTCTGCATCCTTTCACATTTCAAACAACATTCTCAACATCAACGAGAAACGAAGTACCGACACCCATATCCCATTCAGGTTAGGGACGTAGGTTCGCCAACTGAAACATTCCGATGGGCCAGTTGAACATAACTTCGAATTCCCCGCAAAACACTGTAGCCATCTGTTCTGAGAGGTTATCACACCACCACCTTCCTTCTCGCTAATGGTCTCAGTAACAATATCTTTCTTCTTGCTCCCATCCCGAATACGCCTAAATAGTTGCCAGATATCACTTAATCCAGACGCCTTCTCCACCTCTCTCACCTTTCCCACTCACCACTCCACGGGCACATCCCAACAAACTTCTCGCGAACTTATGCCTCAACTACCATCGCTTCTCATTGTAGTCACAGCCAGCTACGATGAGTCCTCTCATATCAGTCACTTAGCACGATGTTGCGAAAATCCAATGACATTTGCTAACCGCTGCATGGAGGCTATCAACTCTCTTTATCGCTGTTTCAACAACACAATGAATACCTCAACACATTTCCTCAGGATTACCATACATGTCATGTTCAAATAAATGCCTAGCTATCTCTTCCTCATATACACACAGTCCAGTAAACAAAGGCTACACTGTCGTCTATTTTCCACCACCAGTATAGCACAGACATACACGTACCCACACTAACGCCTGATCACAGTACAAACAGCTACTCCAGAAAGATCGACAATACACCACCGATCCTACACACAAATGGCTTATAACAATACCATCTATCTGTGTCCAACTGACGAAATATGAGATAGTGCTTCAAGGTAATGCTTGTCACAACAAAGTTGTCAAAGACCACCACCTTTATTGGTTCGTTGATATGGGATTCAGTAGATACTTTCAACATGTCTTTCCAATTGGCTCAGCTTCTCTGCTTCAGCGTTGAAATTGCCTGCTATTATCATTATATCTCAATGTTTTGCTCTATATACCGAAATTCACACCGTCTGACACAATTCATCCCTAGCGTCATCCCAACTCCAGTCAGTCCACATGTAGACGGAGATTGCAAGTAAACAAGCACCAGCTGGTCTCATCATCATTACTACTTCCGACAGATTCATTCAGTCGGACAGCACACACACAGCTCTTCAGCGACATCCATTAGAAGAGTGTGCTTACTGTTCTATAACTCAATGCGATGACTACACCAATGACTCCACGAGAATCAACCACTGAATCTTTGCATTCTTGTAAAGCTAACCACATGTATTCACCGCAATGGTCAACCGAAATCAAGGAAATAACCACACTAGAGTTCTGTATATGCGTCTCACAAACACAATATACATACATAGCTTAAGATTCCAGAATTCTGGTAAGAGATGCTTGTTGTCCGAATTGGCATAGGGTTCGGACATTGGAAGAACCAATGTGAAACGCATAGAGAGGTTTAAGGAGACTAGGAGTGGTGTTTCACTGGCTTAGATCGTTGGTGATGGTTGGAGAGTGAGAGCTGAGAAAGATGCAAGATGATGTATTTGGTATCAGGTGAAGGTAAATGAGAAGAAAAAAGCAAGGAGGGTAGGTTGGTTTTTATTCTCTTTTATACGACTGGGAGGGAGCAGGTAGTTGATACTTCCTAGCTGTCTACACCATCGAAGTTGTTTCTGCAGGATACCTCAAAGAGAAGGGGGTAAATATCTGTGTGAAGGTAGAGCTCATGAGACGTCTGCTTGAGACATGTCGTTCACAGTATTTTTAGGATTGTTGAAATGCGGTAGGATTGATCAGTTGCCGATAGGGAAAACCCATAACGCTGCACCGGATGACGGTAGGGCAGGGAGGAAGGGTTTCAATCTTGAGACCAGCTTTTCGGTCTACTTTTTCCTAGAGCGAAGGCAGAATCGCCGCGGTACGGCTGGTCATCGGTGGAAACATCGGACTGCTGTAACATTCCAACCAGTCAACAATGCGACTACACTCCACGACCACCATTGTAGTGTAGTAATTTTACACTATAACGGTAGTTGCTTTTCTTTCGACTGACTAACGTAACAAACACTTCTGGCACAGTAGAATCTCGAAGAAATGAGCGTTCCAGCCACTGTAGCTCATTCAGTAATTAGGATATGCAAGCCAGATGACCACGTCAAGGTAGAGGCTATCGGTCGGGATATGTAAATATACTTAGTAGTAGACATAAATGAAACATTTCAGCGCACAAAAGTTCGTTTCTCCAACTGATTAAAAGAATGAAATAACATCGCATGAAAATGTGAGGAATTTCAGTCAGTAAATAGAATAACAAAAAACGCGTAACAAGTTGTACTCATCACAACGCTGTTTCCCTAAACGCATAACAATCAATCCCTTTTATGCCTGCAGCAATATAACACATTGGTAAACATGTTCAGAACCATACAAAACTATCAACGTATCAAATCACAAATTGATTCCATTTGAAGTATCCCAGGTTTTCTTCCGATAGAGGTAATAGGTCACGAATATGAACCATAGGATTAGGTTTGACAACCTCATAAAACAAACCGGTTCGCAATTACGTTCGATATATTTATTCAAAAACTTTTTTAATGTATACAGCAGATAGCAAAAAGGTAGCTATGGCAAACTAATGAATGTTACCAGTGAAAACAGAAGACTATGTCTGACACCAACATAATGAATAACTATAATAACAATTATCTAGTATAATCCGAACCATATAAGGTAACTTATCCATACAAAAAATATAAAGCGATGACCAGACATACTGTTCTTTTAACTCAAAGATAACTATTCTGAAAAAAAGTTATTAGTCATGGATTTTATTGAGCAGAAACAGAGCTCAGTAGATACATACAGGCGGAGATACAATTAATATGTGAGGGCTTGTGATACTACCTGGTTCTTCAGGCCGAGGTAGTTGGAGGAGGTTTGGAACTGGGATGAACTATTTGAATTTAAATTACACCAACTATGTTGCGAGAAAATATTTAAGTATATCATGGTGTACTGTATACAGCAATTGAAAAGAGGTACCATATATGCAGTGTGTTTTTAAGATGTTACTGTGCAAATTATTTCACACATCGTTAGATAATTCAGATAGGCTGATGAACGCATTTTCATGATGACCAACAGTTGGCTATACTTTTAATTACAACTTGAACTTATTATCAAAATCTGTGGTGAGTTGCATTGATAATCAGAATCTTAATGATGTTATGCCTAAAATAGACAGGTTGTGAGAATTATAGACTTTTACTCATAAAGAAATGCCAGCTCACACTTTCTGTGGAGTAGGAATTAACAGGAAAATGTCCCAAGCTTGATTATTGAGGAATAATCTGGTTAGGAAGAGTCGTTTGAAGGATAAACAAATTTAGTCTGATAATCACTTGTAATTGAGTGTTAGTGATAATTTAGCAACATTTGCCAGTGTTTTGTTTTTTGATAAGTCGATATATAATGAATTCTAGATCCAGGTAAAAGACATACCTTGTACGACTTTCAAAAAGACCTAAATGACTGAAAATAGCACAATCACTATCTGATTTTACGTAAAAACGAGTGATATGTTGGAAAATTTAAAATGTATCTTCATCCACTTCTATCGTCATTCCTCTAGAAAACAAATATAATATTTCGTCGTATCTAAATTCTCACCCGTAACGGAGCAGCAATATGATGTTAAACACAAATAGTCAGAAATCTAGGTATAACCGAAGCCAGGACGTTTATAAGGAAAAGTAGGGGAATGAAATCGAATAAAAATGAATGTTTACGAATACCATCACATACTAACAGCCAGGACTTTCAATGCTTCCCCAAGCACAACGATTCCGAGAGCCAATCGTCGACCACGTTTATCAGAAACACAACCAACAATCAGTGTAGAGAATATCCCAACACCCATACCTAGAAAATTCTTAATGCATTGAATTAAGGCAGCTTTCTTTTGAGCATAATCACGACCAACTATCCTAAAAATTAAAACAGATGGACATATTTTGAACATTTTAAGAGATAAAACTACACAGATTGGTCTAACAAAGCGACTATATCAATAAATTGCATTACATTACAAACAGCATATACTTCTGTATCACCATTTTTCCTTATATCTGGTGAGTTTTAAGTTATATTAACTGCATTACGAAACATAGTGACAAGGAAATCAAATAAAGATAGGATGAAATGAACACCAATATATATATATATATATATATATATATATATATATATATATATATATATATATAAATCTATCCTAATGTAGAGATACTTAAAATAACTTCATATATTCATTGTAAAACTTAAGTGATATTCCGTGCAAAATGTTTCAGTGGCAAGACTTAACTTTTCCTACGATGACTTCCAACTGACAATAATGTGACAGGGCAGCTACATTTTTTTCTACGTTAAGCGTTCGCAACGCCGTTTTACTAAATTCTCCAAAATATGTTGTCAGCCATTGGAAAGATTTTGCGAGATCTTGGTACCTAATATATCATCAAATCTAAAATTACTGTTAAGCTGTTAAGAAAAGATGTGGTTTGACATCACAGAAATAACATGTAACTCAAATTGTATGGAAAAAAATGAAAGTGATCTGTCTCCCTGGCATGATAACATAGAAACCAAAAAAAAACGAAAGCATTGAACAATTTTAAGCACGACACCACATATAGGGCGAAGAACGTATGATCACACAGAGACTTAGATATTGTAGATTTCGGTTTAAAAATACTTTGATAAAGCTGTTAGCATTAAATAGCGAAACGTCAAAAAAACAACCTTGGCTCGTTTTTAATTCATTTGAAAATACAAATACCAAAAAGATAAGAAAAAGTAAATATATGCGACACTTTAAGGTATAAATTTGACAGGTAGGAGAATTATCAAATGAAGACACGAAATTGTGGTAGGAATATTCAAATACCGAGGTGGATTTACTTGGTTTGCTTTTAATTTCTGGTAATAGAAGTCAAAGTAGGACTAAAAAACACTTTTTAAAACACAGTACGTTTAGGTCCGAAAATAAATATTTGGTTTACATCAGTTCACAGCTCGACTGGATTTCACTTAAGAAAGAACTTAATACGAACTTACGCTTGGACAGAATACAAGTTTTCATAGTAAAATCATAGCTACAGGCACACTGGATGAAAATACAACGTTATTGGGATTTTTTCCACACATTATTTTCAGCTGTATTACTTGGTGAGGGATATGAAAACCAGCTTTTCATCTCAACTAAAGGACAGGAAAAATGTCTTGTTCTTTATTATCTCTGTAATATAAAATGCAATTACAAAAATGGAGACGTCTCATAATCATCAACCGTTTACAGCTGAAAACCAAATGATTTTCTTTGAGTAGTATTGTCGTCCCGCTACGATGGTTCGAGGTCTTCAACCCGTAATAAGTAGGTGATATTTTCTTTCGATTATCCTTCGTTTGTTTATTTTTCTTACATTCTTTAATTACCCTCGCTTAACCTTTGTTTCCGAAAGATGCAAAATGAGTCACCTCATCAGTATATCCGCTTTCATGTCGCTCTCAAGTGAGTTTAGGCAATTAAATGTAATATATACACACTTTCTTACAAGTCAAGATAAAATCAGCCATGTAGATTTTCACTAAATTTTTTATGAATAAATTTCTGTACGTTTATGAAAACTTACGAATCATTTGTGCTTACTGACCAGTAATCAATCCCTTGCTCAGAAAGACAACTAGAAAGAAAAATAAATAAGCACAAAAACAGACAAAAATTAGATGCCTAAAAAGAAGACACCAAAAACAAAGAAACGAAACGAAATCATCTACCTTGTGCAGTTCTATGCAGTAGGCAATGAGCCCCATTTGTGTGAGGGCTAGTGATACTACTTGGCCCCCCAAACCTCAGTAGGTGGAGGGCTTGAACCCGCGACCAAATGGTTGAAAGTCATCTCCCTAAACCACTGAGTCACAGGTCCACAAAGAAGACAAAGACCATGAGGTTATTTATCATCACATACTGAACAACATTTGCATGCGAAGTATTGCCGTATGCTGTCTTATTTTGACAAGTATGAAGCTGAGTCCTGACTAAATAAACACTAGGATGTAATGGACGACACAAAACCGATTGACCTGTTGCACTTCAGTGGTGCTTTCTGCCAATTCCAATTGAATAGATGTCAAAACACAGAACAAAGTTGCATAACAGAAGAAAACAGTCAGTAAGAAAATAGGATAAAATTAATTATCAACTGTTTATCAGACAAAAAATAGTCAAGAAGAATTAAACAGTGACCCATTATTATAAAGCTGCGCTATGAAAAGTGAAGTTCAAATAAAATTGCTTTAGGATTTAAATCCCGAATCTATGAATAAGAACGATTAGGCACACACACCTATACATCATTTAGGGATGGATTACAGCCAGTTCAGCTCTGTAACCTTGAAAAAAGCTAATTATGTGGCTCAGGCTGTTATAAGAGGTCATCACAGACTCATCTTTCTTGACGATAGTCTCATTGCTTGGAACTTTCATAAAATATTCTTAATCACCATATTTCAGTTGACCACAGTCCTCGTCGTGACTCGAGCCAGATGGGATGAAAACTGTTTAGTCAATTACATCACATAATGCTGTGGAGAACTGGTTTTCTGAGTCTTCCAGGCTGCTAGCACTGTAGTAGTCGGTTCTTTCGAAAATTGTCCGAAAACGAGTCTACTAGTTATGTGACAAACTGACAGATAGATTGACGTAAAACCTGTAGCCAAATTGGATCATTTCAAGTAACCAAACTTCGCAGAGGCTGACGAGGTTAGTGGTAAAAGGATCACATCTTGATCGAAGAAGTTGTAAGCGATAAATGAAGAGGCTAAAACTACTCACACTTAACGATGACAAAGAATGCAACCGATTATGAACTGTTTAACCAGGGGTCTAGAACCACACAGCCTCTTGTAAGGTTTGGGTTCAGATTCGTCTGTTACATTTGTACTTCAACCAAAACCTTTATCACTGGTAGTAGAAACCAAAAGAGCGGAAATTAGTACGGTACTTGGATGCAAACTTTTTCTAACTCGTTCTTGTTATATAGGTGGACTCGAAATGTTGATTATACACAGTGAACATTTCACTCTCATAATATCCAGTGTAGCTAACAGCTCAACATCATCCTCGAAACGTCCTCATACCATTAGTTAATTAAATTACGATATTTAATATCAACATGCGACTACGCGTTACTACGTAACTGTCCAAGTTGCCATATTATCAGAAAATCAGACGAGAATTACCAAGATAAAAGATAGGGAAGTAAGGAGGAAAGTAGTCGAAAACGGCAGAAAGTTATCAAAAAGAGCAAGGAGGAATAAAGGAATACTGAAATCCATTACGACAATCACAATGAAGATAGTATATGGACACAGCTGCACCTCTCAGATCGATTCTGAGCCACATTACCTAGAGTATCCAACCGCTGGTTTCTGTTGTTACGCGGAACCCAACTGGAAAGTCTGCATTGCTCTACAGGAAGCAGACCAAGCGAACTCAGTCAGCATCCTGCAACAGGACAGACGGCGATTAGACATACACGACACACTCCTGAGTTGATGAAGGTTCACAACCCTATCCACTAACTTTTCTACCTGACTTTTAAATTACTTACATGGTGACACCACGACACCGCCCAATCCCAGACTATTGCTCTAGAACTGGTATTAGCTGGTGTCTTGCTCAAAACTAGGAAGTGAAGTGGATGACCACTTACCTGGGAATTCTGATCAGCCCTAGGAGGCTCAATTACAGACGAAATTTCAGCTCGGATAAGAAAGACTCCCTTGACCTTCACCAAATTACACCATTTGTGGTGCCACAATTATACATCATTGCCTATTGAGGGTTAAATGTACTACATTGCATTGTTATAGTATGTGGGTGTGAAACGGCCATTAAAAGCAGTCGATATGAGACGGCTTTAGGTGTTTGACAACCACTGCCCTTGTAGGGTAGGTTGCTTTATGGGGACACGTGGCTAATTGGTCTGGTATAGAGTTTCAGGCAGACTGAATGACGAAATCAACGTAAAACCTCGAACACAGATGTATCGTTTGAGGTTGCCATACTTCACAGTAGAAAACAAAGAACAGGCAGACAAAAAGATAGTGATATCAAAGTAGACAAACTTGTATGATGGAATAAACAACATGAAGGTAAAAGTGAAAGCAAATATTCAAGCTTTAGATGTCAAGGGGTACATACATCTGCGCCACTATGACCGATTTCAGACATATCACCAAGAGTCCTCAACCACTGATCTCTTTCGTCTTGAGGACCCCAACAAACCCCACATGGCTCAAACAAACAGTCAAACACACTTCATCAACTGGTGCCACATTTTGGTCTGGCTACCTGGATCCCTCTTCCAAACTAATGCAGCTTCCCTTCCCATGGCACATCAAGATAGAAGTTGGTTCAGTATGCCCAGTCTAAGCTATCTCAGTCAATGAAGCTCCACAAGCCCAATAATCTACTTGCCTAGTACCCCTTGCGTGATCTGTACATTCCTCACACGATGATTTCAAAAAACCCGAGCAATGCTATAGAGACATCCGCGACTGAAACCCAGTAATCGCTTCATGCCTTTTACGTTTAACGACCATGTCTCAGCCGTATGATAGGACAGAACGGACTGCAGTGCAGTGTGCTCATCCTATGATAGATAGTCCGATATCTCGCCAGGTGGTGCCACAGATGACGTAAGTTGGCAAATGCCAAACCAAGCTTTGTGTATCCGAACTTTCGGGCAGCAGGAAAGTCCGTTGAAGAGGTTATGAAACTTCATCGACCTATATGGCTGGCACGGGCTACATAAGCCTAATCACCATCCCCTTGTTTGGACAGTACTGGCTGAAGTAGATTTACGCAGAAAGGTTGGAGGTGGATACACTTAAACATGACACCATCCCCTGCAGTCTTTGACTGTTTAAATTGTGTTGGAAAATGCACTTTCCAGTTGGGTTCCGCGTAACAACAGAAACCAGCGGTTGGATACTCTAGGTAATGTGGCTCAGAATCAATCTGAGAGGTGCAGCTGTGTCCATATACTATCTTCATTGTGATTGTCGTAATGGATTTCAGTATTCCTTTATTCCTCCTTGCTCTTTTTTGATAACTTTCTGCCGTTTTCGACTACTTTCCTCCTTACTTCCCTATCTTTTATCTTGGTAATTCTCGTCTGATTTTCTGATAATGTGGCAGTGATGCGTAGTGCTACCTTGATATTGTCTGTCTGCCTGATAACTGTTTTCAAAATATTCTCAAATCATCACTCAAAGTCTAGTACACTCTGCATTCTGTTAGCACCATCTAATAGGATCATACCATCCGCGTATTCTGCGTCTACCAGTTACTCCTAGAGTTTTATCAATCCCTATAACGTGATATGACACGATGAGGGTAGCTGTCATTACCCAACAGACCTTAGGCAAGGTAGGGCCTAAAGGAACAGTCATTTCAGTCAACTTAGCTTGCTGGCCTATTGCAAATTGAAAAACTGACTTCCACCTCATGGTGACACCTGTAGGTCAAGTATACTTGGAGCCTTGGAAATAATCACTTGTAAGTCAAAAGCGGCATTTAAGTATGGATAGCAATGCGAGTTACTGGGAAACTCAGACATGATGGCAATACGTTTTTAAGGGGAACAAACCTGTAGTATACAAACTGGTCGCTGATGAACAATGACATATACACCGAAACGAACGCTGAGAATGCCAAAACGGCAAGATTCAGAAGACGTCTAAGTTCATCAGGAATTCGCATCTTCGTTACATTCACAACAGATCTGTAAACAGCAAAGTGGAGTCAGTTGATAAACAATCAATACAGTCAAATGACCAAAATACTCCTTGAACAAAACAGTGAGCTATTGAAAATCTTACACTTCAAAAAATTAAATAGGAGGAATTCGGTAAGAGAATGATAGTCGCTTTACCTCATGGAATCGAACATATATTATTCTGCCGAGCAAACAAAAACTGAACATCTCACAATATGTTTCCTGTTTATTTTACATCTTATTTAGTCGTTTACCTGATCAATTCCCCTTTAATTGTATTTTATTTATTTCCTTGCATGTTAGTTTCCAAGGTGCGTTTAGTCTTCTTAAAGCGTTGGTGTAAATCTGAGCAAAAAAGGTTCATAAGCTATGAACCGGAAATAGTAAGATGTTAGGCATACCTTCCACCCAGTAACAGCAAGAGTCCTTTGACGGACTCCAATAAACTAAAATTGATACTTGCTTCTGAGAAGTGTATGCAGTAACTGCTAACTTCTTACAATCCTTCTTACTTTTACACATTAATTTCGACCAATATATGGATCCAAGCAACTACATACACCTTCAAGAACTGGCAACTTTCTGCGACACCACGATACGCAGATAGATATTTAAAACACATTCTACATTTTTCACAACCGAGAATTAACACAATTGTATATTTTACACAAAATTCTGAACACACGTGTTTGTAGACCTCTCACGAAGTTTGCTATATGATACGTCTGCAAAACCCCTAGTTACGTAGCAACTAATTTTAGACAATAACACAAACTTCCGGAAAAAGTGTGTCGAAAGCTCGTAAGCACAAAATATCTCTAATTTTTGAGAAACAGCCGAAAAATTATTTTATCACTTGACTATGAGATAGCCATAGTTTGGCGAACTAGAATTTAAAATGGGTGCTGATTAAAAGTGAAATAGGAATAGACACTTCACCGATATTTTAAGTAGCTGTTATGGTGGCCTTCATGGTCATTAACAGTGTTACTGTAAGCAGTGTCACTACAAGCTATCCCCAAATCGAATTTGGCTGGCTTCTGTCTCCAATCGACCTTGACCCTCATATGTGAGGCGGGTTTCTCATATTTAATCGTGTTCATGTAGCTGCTGTGTGGAATTGGCAAAAGTGTACCCAATATACTCCAAAAAATAATATATTTTGTTTTAAAAGGAATAAATTACCAACAACTATCTTTCGGTGGCAAGTGGTTGATCTACTTTTTTTTTAAGAAGTATATATCAAGGTACGTAACAATGGCTGACCCCGTAGGTTTCTAACTTTCACTGAGCACCAGTGGGTTTTGTAACATTACTGTGCACTGAGAAGTGTCAATCCCTCTGTACTATGCTGGCTACTGGATTTTCCTTTTGTCATTTAATGAGTGATCTGTATTTTTAAGTAACACATCCCAAGCTTCTGGCGCGAACTTGACAGACGCAAAGACCAATCACTAATTATTCGGACTTGTTATATGCCCAAGAATGCGAGGCCAAGGATGAACACGATAGCGTAGTCGGATGGAATAGTATATCTGGATGGTTGTGCCAAAATACCGATGCGTTCCAACCTACTGGCTAGAGAGTCGAATACGAGCAATGCAACGTAACACGACAGCGTGCCAAATGGCGAGGATACTTGAACGGATGCCTTCAGCCTAGCGAGTCCAGTTAAACCATCAAGGTCGTCATCAATGTCGAAAGTCGTGAAACCCTAGGCTATTGATTTTGGGGAAGTGTGTGACGTTACACTGAAGTCTCAGTAGACACAACTCGAGCATTCCAGGAAGTAGTGTTGTTGGAGTCATTCTTCAGCTGGAAAGCTGTTGAAGAAGTGGTCGATGGGTTTCAGAAAGTAACTTGTATTTTACGATGAACATAGGTTACTTGCACTCACTATGGTCATGTAAAAGCAAGGGATGGGGAGATCCTCATTTGAAGTGCACTGTTGTCGTTTTTAAGTGTACTTTCGGTATAAAACCTAAACCTCAAGGTCTGGGGTTGATCAAAAAACCGTAATTCCTCCTATCTGTGAGAATAGCCCTAAGTCCAAATTTCAAAACTACCCATCAATGTTTTGGTTTGCATTGAAGATGGATGAGTACACTATCAAATCTTACAAAATGGTCTATAACCACCCATGTACTCGGTCGTTTATGGTTTGTGATGCATAGAACAGACGACCAACGGGAGAAAAGAAAGATAATTTGGGGCCTATTTTGCAGTAGTCATCTTCTACAGATGATGTTATTCTGCACGTCATGAATGAATGGAACGCGGTAGTTACAGCGAAGGATGTAAGGAATATGAAGTTGAAAGTCATGAAAGGTAGTTTTGCAATTATCAATATAATTCCCCCTAGACAGTGGGAAGCAATCCCAAGTATTCGACTTTTTGAGTCTGAATGGAAGTTTGAAGAAATTTTATTTGGAAAACGATGGTTCTCAGCTGTTAAATACTATTATACCACCAATGGCCGGAAGTAGTCAGCATCTACTACACCTTCAACACCAACCGAGGAGGGTGAAGTCTCTGTTAAATGATAATTAGATACGTACCGATTGTCTCAACTGGTGATTACTGATAACCGCGGTCGTGGATGTCCTGTGCTGTTTGCATGGACAAAGAAGGAGCTTAAAATGGGTGTTAAATGGATCCTGGATAGTTTGCGAGAAATAATGCGGTAGACAAGAGTGGCGCGGACACTTTTTATGGATTGCTCACGCGCTGAAATCTGTGCCGTCCGAGTGACGCACAGCAAGCCAACATCATACTTTGTGCGTTCAGTGTATGCCTGGCCTTGTATAAAAAAGTGGGTTTGAAAAACACTATGATGGCACCATTTCCAGACTAAGGATTCTATAATGAAAGCATACCTGTGTCGTTTGGTGCCATGTGAATCTGCTGGGAGGTAACAACTGTACTGTTCTAATTTCTCGGGTTTTATAAGTGTTACAGAATCATCTGTAGCTTAGACCGCAACGTAGCCGATTATGTCAACCGATACTGTGTGGGTAAGAAACGTACGTGGAGTGCTGCGTTTAACAAGGATGTACTTGTTCTAGGGAATAACACAAACAACTGTGTTGAAAGTTCCCACAGTCAACTGAAGTGGTACCTCCGGAGATCTGATGTACTGCACAAAAGTGTGCTTAAAGTGTACAACTGGAACGCACGCAGTTCGTACAGAAAAGATACGGAAGCTGCTATCGCGCAGGCGAAATCTCACAAATATAACTGCCCGGATTCATTAGTTCACCTTCTCAGTCGGCTAACACCATTTGCAGACAGCAAGGTTACCCAAGATTTTCGAAGAAGAAGCACATACATAGAATATGGAAGCTGCGACTACGTTTCCACCATGGGCAACGATCACACCGTTGATGTTGATCTGTTATCATGTGAGAAACAAATAAACATGAGCATATATTTAGCTTAAATTCATTCAAAAATACAATTTTAGCATAACTTCCTTTTGAACGTAAATTCCCAAAGAAGACGTTTATTGACTGCATCCACCTGTCTCCATTTCACCGGATATGCACCAGCAATGAACCATCTGGTAGTAAGTATAACTTCATGGAATAATCGGAAGAATGAAAGGAAGCATATTCCAAGTTCACTTTACAATACCCAACGTTTTTTCAAGCTTGTCGAACCAATTGTCTCTGTTGTACCCGCTTTTACGTCTTGATGGAGACTCTAAGATCTTTGATGCAGTGCGTCTCCCTACTCACCTGCTAAAGCTGTTTTCATCTGTCTTGCATGAGCCAACCTGCTTTAAAACAGGAAAATATCCGATATCATACAGACCAAAAAGGGGGAAATAAGTAGAAAAAAGGGGAGGTGAGGGAAGCTCAACGGTAAAATAAAGCGACATACGTTGGGAAAATCAACCGACTTTCCCCCATTGCATTTTTTCCCTTTTTTGCATGCTTTTCCCACCTTAAGTAGCTTTCCCCTTTCAATCCAAATACGTTGAAAGGGTGCAAAGCGAGAAAAGAAAACATATATTTGTTTGCTTTTCGGATTTTACACCTGAATTCCGCTACACTTCCCTTTAAGTGTCGTCTTTCATTACCCACTGTCGCCTGAAAATATGCTTTTCCCCTTTATCCTTCCTTTAACGCCCTCCAGCAAGAGTATCCCCATCGAAGTCCAAATTTCCCCTTCATTTCCCAATTTTTCTCATTCCTTCCAACTATTTTGCCAAAATATCAGCTGTTCTTTTATTTCCTTCTAGACTTCATTTACTATAATTGACAGAT